ATCTAAGGTGAATATAAAGTGTGATCGAGTCTCAGGTCAAAGGACTTTAAGTTTTTTACACTTGAGTGTGGAGTAAGAGTAAGACATTTCAGGGGAAAACCCCACAGGAAATATTATGATTGTTAGAGGGGAGAGCAAGGGAAGGGGTTAGAAGAAGGGCATCTCTCCATCACGATAAACCATCGTGTAAGCTAATGTGACAGCATTTTTTCCATTGTCGCAGGACAAAATACCATCCTCTGCCTTGGGAAGAGGCTTTGGGTTCTCTCCTGGGGCTCTGCGGGCCCACCTCCTGAGCTCTGATGCTGAGACCCTGAAAAGTGTCACAAGCTGGCCCCTGCACATGCCACAGTGCTGTCCCTCCCCCAGCCCCTACCCTGAGCACAAAGAGAGTCTTAGCAGCAGCAAATCACGTGAGGTCTGAGAAGGAAATGTCCTTCAGCAATAACCTCAGACAGACATCAAGAAATGGCAAAAATGACCTAACACGGGCTTGCCCCCACCCAGTGTTCCACTGTGCTTATCTGTTCAGAATTAAATTTGGTAACTTGTTCTCTGCGACTTGAAAGGCCTGCCAATCACGAGCCACTTTCTCACTCTTATGGGACCTCCACCTGAGGCACCTGGGCATGAGTGCACGCTCCCGCCGGCGTTCCACCCTCACTGTGATCCCAGGGATACGACTTCTTGGACACTTGGGTTATTATTGTTGTTGCTGCTTTCAGAGAGCCCTGGGACATTCTTATGAATGACGCTCTGTGACCCTCATGTGAAGGGGAGGCTGAGTAGCCTCCAAGCCAAGGCTTTATTCTGAGAAACTTCTAGGTTTTGTTGCTAAGGCAACAAGGACTTTCAGGGCACAAAGCTACCTTAGGTGTAGACAATATTAATGACAGAAGTGATTTGAGACACTGGGCCAGAAGCACATGTTGCCTTGATTTAACACATACTACTTTTTTTCCCTTTTGTTCTTTGGCCACCCTTTCTGGAAAACTTCTTGCTTGAGAAAATCCAAGCCCTCCAGCAACATAAAGTGATTGCAGTTTGTGAGAGAGGCCATTCACACAGGCAGACCCACCTAGACGCTCTCAGGGAATCTTTGCGAATGTTCCATGTCCAGAGGTTTCTATTCTAAGGTCTAGTAGGAGACACAGCATTTGAAAATGCTCGGTTAACATTCTGTTTTCTTTTCCCCTCGTGACTCCCCCCTGGTCTTCCCTGAACTTTCAGATGAGCGTTGCAATGGAGTAGAAATGCACCTTTCAACACGCTGCCGTCCCAGCCAGAGGGCCCTAAGAGGGAGACAGAGGTGAGTGCCAGAGAATCCTGACGAAATGCATTTATCTCAGGCCAAATATTCAGGAAACACCGCTGTTTTTCATAAGTAGATGAATACAATATGGTAGTTACAAGCAGACTTTTGGTTTGAATCTTGGTTCTGTCCCTTTCTAGCTCTGTAGATTTGCATGCATTGCTTAAATCTTTATAAGCCTAATCTCTATAATGTGGATGTAGCAAGGTCTACAACAAAAGGTAGTATTAGCGTGAAATGAGTATTTAGACTGTATATACACATAATATTTAATAAATAAATGTTAGCTACTGTATAGAAGTTGCTCCTTAGAAAATATAGAATTACTAGATTTGAGATTCTTTTGACATAAGCTGAACAGTTTCCTAAAAACATATTCTAATAAAATTATAATGGACAAAAAGAAATGTTGCTATAACATACAACATTATGTCCAGGCTGAGGGAAACATATTTGTGGCATCTTCAAAATTTAAAAGCATATTCTGGGAGTGGGGTCAGCATTGTGGCATAGTAGGGTAATTTCCACCTGAAGTGCCGACATGCCATATAGGCGCTGGTTCAAGTCCTGGCTGCTCCACTTCCAATCCAGCTCTCTGCTAAGGCCTGAGAAAGCAGTAGAAAATGGCCCAAGTCCTTGGGCCCCTGAACCCTGAACATGGGAGACCCAGAAGAAGCTTCTGGCTCCTGGCTTCGGATTGGAACAGCTCCAGCCGTTGCGGCCATCTGGGGAGTGAACCAGCAGATGGAAGACCTTTCTCTGTGTCTCTCTCACTCTCTCCCTCTATCTCTCAAATAAATAAATAAAATCTTTAAAAAAAAAAAAGTACATTCTGGGAGGCACGATGAAATCATTCCCTGAAATGTAACTTTTTGAACAATACACTAACAAAAGGGTAAGACCAAAACAAAACAAAACAGAATAAAAAAAACCCTAATGATTAATGTGTTATAGTTCTCTAGCTAACAGGGGAAAGAAATAGAAATTATACAGAAGTTAGCAATAATCTCAAAGCAAGAGCCAAGAGATCACTATATTTGTGACCTTAAACCAGAAATACACCTAGCAGGAAAATGGGACACTTGTGCCCACCTCACTGCCTCCCATCAGCCCTCAAAACTCCTCCCAAAATTAGTAATAAACTTTGTGTGTTCACTTGGTAGTGAACTTTGGGATTGGAACCTAAATGGAAATTTCATATCATGTATGTTTTACAATTATTTTCAGTTTTTTAAATTAAAAGTTTTATTTAAAGAGAGGCACTTAGAACATTGATCAACTCCTCAAATACTTTTGGAATAATGCCTCCTCGTTTGTGTGATTATGTTATGAAAGTCAGTAGGGCCAGCACCACTGCTCACTAGGCTAATCTTCTGCCTGCGGCACCGGCACCCCGGGTTCTAGTCCCGGTCGGGGTGCCGGATTCTGTCCTGGTTGCCCCTCTTCCAGGCCAGCTCTCTGCTGTGGCCCGGGGAAGGCAGTGGAGGATGGCCCAAGTGCTTGGGCCCTGAATCCACAAGGGAGACCAGGAGGAAGCACCTGGCTCCTGGCTTCGGATCAGCGTAGCGCTGGCCGTAGTGGCCATTTGGAGAGTGAATCAACGGAAGGAAGACCTTTCTCTCTGTCTTTCTCACTGTCTAACTCTGCCTGTCAAAAATAAAATAAAACAAAATAAAAATTTAAAAAAAGAAAGTCAATACGAGGGGCCAGTGCTGTGGCGTAGCAAGTAAAGCCACTGCCTGCAGTGCCTGCATCCCATATGGGTGCTGGTTCAAGTCCCTGCTGCTCCACTTCCAATCCAGCTCTCTGCTATGGCCTGGGGATGCAGTAGAATTTACCCCAAGTGCTTGGGCCCTTGCACCTGCATTTGAGACCAGGAAGAAGTTCCTGGCTCCTGGCTTTAGATCGGCCCAGTTCTGGCTGTTGTGGCAATCTGGGGAGTGAACCAGCAGATGGAAGACCTCTCTCTTGCTACCTTTGCCTCTGCATTTCTGTAACTCTGCCTTTCAAATAAAATAATTTTTTAAAAAAAGTCTAAGTATCACCAAATCCTACAGACTTTTTAAAAAGTCAATACAAATCTCTAATATATCAGAAAAATTACAGCCATCACTCCTCCCACCCAAGAAAACACTTGATTCATTACTTAATAAGTATTCATGCATTGTTAGAATTCAAAGATACATTTTATGGAGAAAAATTTAACTTTTAAAATAGCTTAAGTAGTAATTTTCCTGGCTGTACAGAGAAGTGATCACACAACAGCACCTTCTCATGGATCTGTCCCTCCCCCTGCCCACTGCCGTGGCACTGTCACTTAAGACGCACACACTGCTCCCAGCCCACCACCTCTCCACTGCCCTGGGAGCTGATGATGGGAGCTGGCTGGGCCTCTGACCTCCAGGTTCATTTCCAATATGAAAATGTTGGCCAGTATGGTCTCTAACATGCTCGGTGGCACCAATACTGTGATTCTATCCCTGTTGCAAGCTCCAGTTTTGATGCCTGATTTTAAGCCTCTTTTTCACCAATGTGTGAAAACCCTCTTTGTAAGTAACAAAAGAATCCTAGAAACATGTCTATCTTGTCAAAATACATTTTTTCCTGCTGTAAGACTTCTACCTATAGCCAATGCAATTTTATGAGCATTTCTATTCTGTATTCAACAGGACCCTTTCTTTCCCCCCAGGGAGGATTAATCACAGGCAAGGACTGGAAAAGACCATTTCCCCAGATGAAGCTTAAGCAACGCCTGCGGAGAAGCCCATTCGATTTTAATTTGCCAATTAAAAGTGGCCTGGGAAATCACAGGCTGTCATTATCTCGGTAAAAATACTGTACTTGTCACTCCCTTTCCTCTCTCTGGGAAAATGAACACTCAAGCAGCCCAACTACTCCCTACAACTGAAATTTCTTATCACCCTTGAAAGTAGGCGCTGACAAAGTCGCCTTTGCCTAGGCTCACTTGGGACAACATTCTCTGCAGTCACCGATTCCACACAGCTCTCGTCACTAAATCAGCACCATTTCTGGGATATTTACTATATTCATGAAATTTATCAAGAATTGAGAAGAATTTAAAAGGAGATTAAAAATCTAATTTTTAGCAAATTCATGGCCGTTCTCCTTGGGAGAACAAGAGCCTTATAACCACAACTTGTAAAGATCCTCTTACCAGCCTCTTTGGGTTCTATTTGGCACCTATTCAACTGCTACCTTTCTGTCTTGCCTGGCTATCTGTTGAATGACATTAGAAGTCAGGACTGATGGTTGCAATTGCCTTGTAATTTTTTTAATGGCTCGACATCTGTTGGTACAGAAGTTGTAAATTCACTTTCCCTATAAATAATCCATGGAGTTGGCATCACCTGTGGGAAACAGTGATTTGAACTGCACTATTTGTTACTGCTCCTCAGTTTCCAGGAACCATAAAATGACGAATGGTCAGGAATAAGAAAGAAATACAGCAGAGTGTAGATGATGCCTTATATCAATCATTCTCTCGAATGAGGGAATAATAAACGGAAAACCTATGGTGCTGACTTGTACTTGAACTTGATTCTGTGTACATACCTGCAGTTTATTATGTATTTCCGAAGGTGCTTCTTCACAGTCCATTGACTTCTGCCTAACAAAAGCCTGCATGGCCACAGTGCACTAGAGGAAGGTAATCAATAGGGAAAATTACCTTATTGCCTTGAAATCCCTTCGGGCCTGGATCCCCTGGAGGTCCACTGATGCCCTGTCCCAAGATAAAAACCGAGAATTAGTTCTGTGTACAAGAGTACAAAAGGATTGGAATGAACCAATCCTTTAGGATCCTGGATATTAGAAGTCAGACTATCTAACTGAGAGCTAAATTGAGATTACATCCAATTGAGAAATGGGATGAGATAAAATTCCGCGTGTCAAATAAGATGCTTCTAAAATGGCTGTTGAACTGACAGCAAATATTTTCATAAAGAGGTTTTTATTTTCTAAACCTGTATTTCCAAACTTATTCCTGTGCTGGATCCCATTTTTGAATGATTTTGAATATTCAAAGACTTCTTAAATATCTAAAGCTTATATACTTGAAAGAGTTTCCAATGACCATGTAATGATTAATTACTGCCCTTCCAGGACAACTCCAGGCCAAAGCAAAGGATTTGACAGCTAGCTAGATGTTATCTAAGAAATCTTGAATAAAATAATAATGAACACTATGAGAAACGGTGACTTGATCAGCCCTCACCCTGACTGTTGATGAGCAACTTGATATGTTATCCCTCCTAGTATTTTTTTTGTTTGTTCTACTTAATACTTTTGGTTGAATACTGTAATCAATACACAATTATTCTTAAGTGCTGAAACTTAACTGAAAGGTGATCACTGTTAAATATAAGAGTGAGAATAAGAGAGGGAAGAGATGTGCAAATCGGGACATGCTCAAGCTGACTTACCTCAAACGGTAGAGTTAGAAACATACCAGGGGATTCCAATTCAATCCCATCAAGGTGGCATGTACCAATGCGATCTCATTAGTCCCAGTGATCAATTTCTGTTCACAATTGATCATAATGATAGGACTAAGAACCAAAGGGATCACATAAACAAGAATAGTGTCTGCAAATACTAGCTGATAGAATAAAAAAGGGAGAGAATGGTCCAACATGGGAAGTGAGATACACAGCAGACCCATAGAATGGCAGATGTCCTAAACAGCACTCTGGCCTCAGAACCAGCCCTTAAGGCATATGGATCCGGCTGAAAAACCCATGAGAGTATTTCAGGCATGGAAAGCCAAGACACGCTGGAAAAAAAAAAAAATAACCTAAATGAAAGATCTCTGTGAGTGAGATCCCAGTGGAAAGAACGGGTCATCAAAGAAGGAGGTACCTTTCTCTGAAGGGAGGAAAGAACTTCCACTTTGACCATGGCCTTGTCTAAAAATTATCAGAGTCAGTGAACTCAGGGGGCTTCCATAGCCTTGGCAGCTCATGACAAGAGCCTAGGGTGATTACTGATGCCATAAACAAGAGTGTCAATTTGTTAAGTCAACAACAGGAGTCACTGTGCACTTACTCCTCATGTAGGATCTTTGTCCTTAGTGTGCTGTACATTGAGATTTAATGCTATAACTAGTACTCAAACAGTATTTTTCACTTTATGTTTCTGTGTGGGAGCAAACTGTTAAAATCTTTACTTAATGTATGCTAAACTGATCTTCTGTATATAAAGAGAAACGAAAATGAATCTTGATGTGAATGGAAGGGGAGAGGGAGTAGGAAAGGGGAGAGTTGCGGGTGGGAGGGACGGTATGTGGGGGAAGCCATTGTAATCCATAAATCGTACTTTGGAAATTTATATTCATTAAATAAAAGTTTAAAAAAAACAAAAAAAAGTATAATTTTCAGGAAACTGCTGGGAGTATTTGTAATTAACTCTTCATAGTCACCCTCTAGTATACCTTTAGAATCAGCAATTACTAGACTGGAAAAAAATGTGTCCAGATTATTTCCTGAAATCCATGGAACATGTATAACTTAAATAAGTGCTGTAAAGAATCATTCCATATTATAAAGTATTAACTACTGATAGTGATGGAACAACACAAATATTATAATTTAGATAAAATGCATAGGTTATTCCATCTCTCTTCCATTGGCAATGCAAAAAAGTTACCTCCTGCTTTTAACTATTTTGAATTTCTTCACCTCTCTAGACAGTAAGTTTTTTCATCTCCTCAACTACTCACCAAGCAAGCTGACTGACCTGCTGGCACCTTTTAGGAAGGGTAATTTTAGGGAGCCTGAGTTAGTTAATCAAAACATTACAAAAGTGGTGTACAAACTTGGTGCACAGTAGAATCATGGCGGCGGGGGGGGTTAAAACTATTGATGCCTGGCTCCAATCCACAGATATTCTAATTACATTGGCAGAGAGTACAAGTAGGCAAAGGGATTTCTAAAAACTATGCCGGGGACTATAATCCAGACAGCTTTGGTTGCAGACTCCTTACCTGAAGTCCTCTTGGTCCCTTCGGTCCATATGGTCCTGGAGATCCCTATGGCATAAATGGGTGGTCAGTGTCTCCAAATACCCACTGATAAACACAATGACTTTAGGAGGGAGGGAAGGAAAGCTGCTCTGGGTAATACCCAGTCTTCCATGGTTGTCCATGCAGCTCAGCCAGCAAATTGAAATTATCCCAATTAATGAGCCAATGACGGTCCACACTTGCCTTTACTAAAAAGATTCCATGCAAATATAATTTTAGATGTAAATGCTTGGCCTATAATACTGACTTTTTAAGAATATATTTATTTGAAAGGCAGATCGACAGAGAGAGAGGAAGAAGCAGAGGCATCTTCCCAAATGGTCACAATCGTCAGGGCTGGGCCAGGCTGCAGCCAGGAAGCAGGAACTCTATCCTGGTCTCCCACTTGGGTGGCAGGGGTGCAAGGATTTGAGCCATCCTGCACTGCCTTCCCAGGCACAGTAGCTGAGCGCTGAGTGAGCAGCGAAGCTGAACTGGGATGCTTGTGCGGCAGGCAGCAGCGTGACCTGCTCTGCCACAATGCCAGCCCCTATACTGACATTTTAATAAGAGTGAAAGAATTACTTCTTGATATTCCTTACAAGGCAGTCACCTTGGCAGCATGTTTTCCTCCAAAAAGATAGGGTCTGTTAAATCAGCAATTTAGTGAGTTTCTGTATCTAGATCATTAGCCTATGGAACTGAGCAAAACACTATTTATACTCGACACTCTTCTAATAGAAAACATTTCAGTATGTTACCTAACTAGGAAACTCACTTAAAATTAGTTTTACGAGAATATAATATAGTCGAGTTTCTCTCTTCCTCAATTTCAACTTTTTTTTTCTTACCAAAGTATAATCTGCTCCTTTTTGACAAATTTTGGTGATGATGAAAAGAGGTAAAGATACTATTTTAAGAATCACACAAATACTGTTAAAATTTTAACATTTTCATCCAGTTTTATTCCCAATATTTTTCTTCAAATAATTTGATCAAAATGTATATCTAGGCCGGCGCCACAGCTCACTAGGCTAATCCTCCGCCTGCTGCGCCAGCACCCCAGGTTCTAGTCCCAGTTGGGGCGCCGGATTCTGTCCCAGTTGCTCCTCTTCCAATCTGGCTCTCTGCTGTGGCCCGGGAGTGCAGTGGAGGATGGCCCAAGTGCTTGGGCCCTGCACCTGCATGGGAGACCAGGAGGAAGCACCTGGCTCCTGGCTTCGGATCGGCGCAGCACACCGGCTGTGGCAGCTATTTGGGGGGTGAACCAACGGAAGGAAGACCTTTCTCTCTGTCTCTCTCTTTCTCACTAACTCTGCCTGTCAAAAAAAAAATGTATATCTAATTTGAAGCCCTGCTTAACCCTACATTGTCTCAGAAATATTGTTGCACATCACTGAAAACTCTTGGTAAAAAGGCTCATAGTCAAGGAGAGGGACTTATAATTTATCATTCATGTCCCACTGTTTGACATTAAAGTATTACTGATTTTTAAAATAATGAGTATCTTTGTGCACAAATCTTTCTCTAATTCTGACTCTTTTTTATGTAAACTTGCATACTTTTATAGAGTACCTCTTGTCCAACTTCTGACTCACTGCTAAGGATAGCTTCGTAGGTGAGGCTGATAAAGCAGGGATGAGAGCACATTTAAGTCTCCCTTTCTTGCTCTTCTGTGTTTCCCATGCCAATTATACAGAGAGAGGTATCTACCACGGAGTTTGATCATTAACCATTTCTACAACTTAGTATGAGAACATATCTTCATCTTCTAGAACCTCTGTCAATATTAAGTGCAATATAGTGTTTGCTAATCTGACGGGGGAAATAGTATCTTAATGTCTTTGTTCCACTTGTCTGGTCGCTAGCATGTTGGGGTATTTTGTGCATTTATTGGTTATTTATGTCTTTTGCTGTTCTTTTTTTTCTTATAAATTTGTGTGTATTCTCATAACAAGAACACTATTTCATTGACTCTTATAAGATAAACAATTTTTTTTCAAATGTTTACATCTCCAGCATTGGGGTATGTCTTATACTCTATCACATATTTATTTCACAAACATAGAGACAAACTGATCTCGCCCATTTGCTGGTTCACTCCCCCAAATGCCTGTAACAGTTGGGTCTGGGCCAGGTCAATGTCAAGAGCTAGGAACTCAGTCTGGGTCCACAATGTGGATAACAAGGACACATCTGGCCGGCGCTGCGGCTCACTAGGCTAATCCTCCACCTAGCGGCGCCGGCACATCGGGTTCTAGTCCCGGTTGGGGCGCCAGATTCTGTCCCGGTTGCCCCTCTTCCAGGCCAGCTCTCTGCTGTGGCCAGGGAGTGCAGTGGAGGATGGCCCAGGTGCTTGGGCCCTGCACCCCATGGGAGACCAGGAAAAGCACCTGGCTCCTGGCTCCTGCCATCGGATCAGCACGGTGCGCCCGCCGCAGCGCACCGGCCGCAGCGCGCCGACCGCGGCGGCCATTGGAGGGTGAACCGACGACAAAGGAAGACCTTTCTCTCTGTCTCTCTCTCTCACTGTCCACTCTGCCTGTCAAAAAAATAAAAAAATAAAATAAAATAAAATAAAAACAAGGACACATCTACTTTATCATCACCTGCTGCCTCCCAGGGTCTGGGTTAGCAGGAAGCTGGGACTAGGAGCAGAGTCTGAGCCAGATCCAGGCACTCTGTGGGATGTGGGTGTCTGGAGCAGCATCCTAACCCTCCACTAAACATAGTCTCCTCTGTTGCATCTTATAATTAGCAGTGTTTCCTTTTCCTTTCTCTTGACACAGAAAATGATGCCTTTAGCATTTCCTGGCATTTCAGTTGAAAAATACCATATATTGATGCTGTGTTAACAGCTTTTATTTTATGAAGTTTCCTTAGGCATTGTTTGACTTTTATTTCCGTTGTATTCTATGGCTGTCCCTTCTGTACATCCACCCTCCATTTCAATTACCCTCCAGGAGAAACTATTTATTATCAAGTTTTCATTCTGCCCAGAGATAATTACCAAGCACACCCTGTGCAGACCTACCTCACCGTAAACTCCACAGTGGTTGAAGAGTTCTCAGTAAGTCTCAGGCTCTTTAAAGTGTTCAGTTCCATCCAAGCTGCTTTTTTTTTTTTTTTTAATATTCTATTTATTTATTTGAGGGGTAGAGTTTCAGAGAGAGAGAGAGAGAGAAAGGTCTTCCATTTGCTGGTTCACTCCCCAAATGGTCACGACAGCCAGAGCTGGGCCAATCCGAAGCCAGGAGCCAGGAGCTTCTTCTGGGTCTCCCACGTGGGCCCAGAGGCCTAAATACTTGGACCATCTTCTGCTGCTTTCCCAGGCCCTCCGTAGGGAGCTGGATTGGAAAAGGAGCAGCCGGGAGACAAACCGGCACCCATGTGGGATGCTGGCACCACAGGCAGAGGCTTAGCCTCTGTGCCAGCCTCCCATATCCCAGTTTCAATGTCATTATGTTATTCTCTTCTTTTAAACTTCTGCCTCATTTTCTCATCTTGATTCCCACCCATCATTACAATATTTGTTTTGAAAGAGTTTAGTATCTCTTGGTGGCATTTTGCTAATAACTCTAACTGTGTATGGTGGATTTTTGGCCTAGCGGTAAAGACACCACTTGGGTTGCCCCATCCACATTCACGTGCTGGGGGTTGAGTCCCTGCTCTGCTCCTGGTTTCAATTTCAAAATCAGGCAGTAGGTGATGGCCCAAGTACTTGGGTCCCTGCCATCCATGTGGAAGTTTTGGCTCCTGGCTTCATTGTGGCCCAAGTCCCAGCTGTTGCAGGCATTGGGGGAGTTAACTGGTAGATGGAAGATCTCTGTCTCTCTTCCCACCCCTTCAAACAAAATAAATAAATTTAAACAAAAAATATTTCTTCACTAAAATGAAGCTATTTTTACCCTATATTTTGGGGGCCAGTTATTAAATCCCAGATATATTTTCCCAGTTTTTGGCCTATGAAAGAACTTTTTTAATATGTTTAATGTTGTTTCCAGTCTTAGTACTATTTCATATTTGTTTTTTAACTAAACGTAAAAAAAAAAAAGTCTGTTTCTTGTTGCACTTTCAAAATTTCAAGCATTATTTATGATTATTTCATTAACTTATTTAAGATTTCACTGGTTGAATTATTCTTCTTAATGCAACATTGTGTAGACCTAGCCTCACAGGTTAGGGTGACACAAACCAAGATCTTAATGGTCCATAAGAAAGGTATGTGAGGACTCCATTAACTAGGTTAGGTATTGCTTTGTTTGGTACCTCATCTTTCACAGATGTGAAAATCCAGCCACTGACTTTCCAATCCTAATAGTGAGACCCACAAAATTCATCCCAATAAGAAAACAGCCCAAAGTAGATCACAGCTGTTAGCATTTTTTAAAGATTTATTTATTTATTTGAAAGGCAAAGATACAGATAGAGAAAGGGAGAGAGTAAGAAACATCTTCCATCCCCTGTTTACTCCCCAAATGGCTGCAATGGCTGGAGCTGGGCCAGGCCGAAGCCAGGAGCCAAGAGCTTCTTCTGGGTCTCCCATGTGGGTGCAGGGGCCCAACTACTTGGGCCATCCTCTGCTGCTTCCCCAGGTGCATTAGCAGGGAGCTGGGTTGGAAGTGGAGCAGCCACGACCTGAAAGGGTGCCCACCTGGGATGCCAGCGCTGCAGGCAGCAGCTTCACCTTTTACAGTCAGCGTTCGCATTTTAGAAACGCATTCCTGTAGGTGGGGGTGAGACCAGCAGTTACGACACCCAAGTCCCACAGCAGAGTAGCTGGGTCCAACTTCCAGGTCTGGTTCCCGGCTCCAGCTTCCTGCCAGTGCAGACCCTGGGAAGCAGCAGTGATGGCTCAAGTCATTGGTTTTTGCCACCCAGGTGGGAGACCTGAATTGCTTTCCTAACTTCTAACTTCTGCCCCATCTGGCTGGCTTTTACAGGCATCTAGGGAGTAAACCAGCAGACGGGAGAACTCTCCCCATCCTCCACCCTACCCCTCCCTCCCTCTCTCCTTTCCTCGAATAAATACATACATAATTTTTTAAATGTTCCTTACTTTGTCACCTTTTATTCCTGGTTTACCACATTCTCCACGTTCACCCTAAAAAATAAATGAGAAAATTTGTTAGGACTCTTTTTTTTTTAACATTACCATTAACTTATCACACAAGCATTGTTAATTTTTACACAGTTTTAACCTCAATGTTGTGAGTTGAATGGGCACTGAACTTGAAAATTTCTACCTAACAGTCACCCTTACCTGACAGGAACAAATCAGTGATGCCACCAAATGAGATTTGACATTTTCAAGCAAAGGATGAAATAACAGGAAAGAAACTGAACACCTACCACATATTAGATAACTTTTATCGGTGTGATTTACTGATAGCCCAATGAGATCAGCTTCACAATTCTTATTGTAATTGAGAAAATTGAAATTCGGTGAAATGACTTCCCCGGATCACACATCTAGTAAGTGGAAGGATTAGGTCTGAACCCAGCTCTACTCTAACTCAGAGTCCCCGTTTCCACAACATTCGGCTCCAGTGTGTCAACGTTGGCCAATTAGTAGCATCTGCTGAGAAGTGCGGAAGGAAGGTTCTGGGACAAATCTGTGTGATGGAGTGGAGGGGAGGGGAGGGGGAGAGGGGAAGGTAGAGGGCGAAGGGAGGGGAGAGGAGAGGGGGAGAGGGGAAGGTAGAGGGCGAAGGGAGGGGAGAGGAGAGGAGAGGGGGAATGGAGGGGGAGGAGAGGTGGAATGGAGGGGAGAGGAGGAGAGGGGGAATGGAGAGGAGGGGAGGGAAGGGTGCCATCAGGCTTCCACAAGGTCTGTGTGGTGGGAAAGTGTGGGCTCCGTGCCAAGCACCTTACATAGGGTCCATGATCAAGCTCTACTCATTGATCTGCCTTTCACTATTACTGGAAGAAAAACTCTAACATTTGAATCATGTTTAGAGTCTAGAAAGACAACATTTTACACTTATTTCAGTTACCTTGACATGAACCATCTGAGATAGATATTATTAACCCGGTCTCACAGACTGAAAATTTGTGGTTCAGAGAGGTTATGAGGGATATTCAGAAAGTTCATGGAAAACAGACACTATGAAAAAACTATGCATAGTTTTTGTACCAAAGTAAACTTTTCAATCGACTTTCCACAAACTTTTTGAAGGCTCTTTGTAAATACCCAATGGAATATAATTCAGCATATAGGAAGGGAATTTTGTCATTTGTGGCACCATGGGTGAACCCGGAGGCCATTACGTTAAGTGAAACAAACCAAGCACAGAGAGAAATACTGCATGATCTCATTTATATATGGAGCCCCAAAAGGCTGAAGTCATAGATTCAGGAGAATGAGGGTCACCAGAGGTAGCAGGTGGGAGGCTGGGCAGATGTTGGTAAAGAGATACAAAACTTCATTAGATGGGCACAATAAACTCAAGAGATCTATTGTACAACACAGGGACTAATAATAGTTTATATTCTTGAAAGACACTGATAGAGTGATTATATGCTCTAAACACACACACACAAATGACAGGTATGTGAGATGCGGGATGTTAATTAGTTTAATTTAGGCATCTCACAGTGTGTTCATATTTGAAAACATCATATATATATATGAAAACATACATATACATGATAAATACATGCAATTTTTGTTAATTAAAAGTTTATAAGGAGCTGGTGTTATGGCACAGCAGGTAAAGCTGCCGCCTTTAATGCCAACATCCCGTGTGGGCGCCAGTTTGTAGCCCAGCTGCTCCACTTCCATTCCAAATCCCTGCTAATGGCCTTCAAAAAACAATGGAAGACACCCAAGTGCCTGGGCCCCTGCACCCACGTGGGAGACCTGAAAGAAACTCCTGGCTCCAGGCTTTGGCCTGTCCCAGCCCTGGCCATTGCGGCCACCTGGGGAGTGAACTGGCAGTGGAAGATCTCTCCCCCTCTCTCTCTTTCTCCCTCTCTGCTAACTCTGACTTTCAAATAAATAAATAAATATTTTTAAAAAGCAACTTTTTAAAGAAAAGTTTTTTTAAAATAAATCTTTTTTTAAATGATAGTTTTCTCAAGTAGAATGAGAATGGAGACCTGAATACAAGACCATTATAACAGATGTTCAAGACTTCTAATAGTTAAACTAAAGCATAATAGTCAACTAGAAAAATTATTTGTCTTACCATTATAATACCATCTTATTTATAAATCACTTTAGACATTTCAAAATGCTTTTATGTATGTATTGATTCTGAGTCCCAAATCAATTCTTATTTTTATGATAAGTAAATCCAATTGGAGAGTTAAATGATTTACCTAAATGTATATGGTAGTCAATGGCTCTGTCTGGTGCCCTCAGTACCAATTCCTGCTTCAGCCTTATCTCTAAGCTGATCTTGGGCATGCTGCTCTATACAACGATATAAGAACACTGCACTAGCATAGAAATCAATGCATTACTTCCTTCACTGTGGAAGTCTTGCTATGAAAATAAATGTCAGCTGCACTTAACAGCATAGCTGGAATAAGTGGATTTACAATCTGCTGCAAGCTTATCTCAGATTGCAGAACAGCAACTGTCAACAGCCTGCCAGTCAGCCCAATGACCACACCTTCACCAGCGCTGCCCTCGGGAAGGAAATCACAACTCTAACCACCACTTATGCAGGCCAAGTGTGTGCCAGACCTTTGCATTATTGCTGGGCCCCACAACCAGCTTGCAAAAGGTGAACTAGATAGAGAGATAGAATAGATGAGTAGGTTGATAGAAGGATGGATGGATGGATGGATGGATGGATGGATAGATCTCTAATAGATAAGGAATCAGAGAGATTGAGTAGCTTTCCCATGACTACAAGTTTATGTTTGTTAGATCCCCAAGTTCAAGTTCTCACCAGTTACCCATAGCTGAACGCACCGTCATGGGCAGCAAGTCACTTCCCACTAACCTGACACTTCACCGAGAATACTGTCTAGGCTGTTGCTGACACAGAGAGCAGGAAAGAAGGAGGGGCAGTTCTTCAGAACCAGCTATGCCTCTGTTCAAAAGCAATCTGTTCTCCCTCATCATTCTGTGAGTCAAACTGACCCAGGAAAAACTGACCTTTCCCATAGAACAAGTTGAACATTTATTTCTGAATGCAAATGGAAAATCACTCTTAAAGACTCAATTAGAAAGCAATTAATTTGCTAATGTTGGATGGGAATAAAATGAGTCAACCACCAAAATATCAAATAGAAAGCACCATAAATACACTCAAAATTCTTTTGGCCAGAATTCACATTCCATTTGTCCAGACAGATTTGTTAGCTATAGGGTCCTGAGGAACAGCATTTGTTTTGGGGGCAGATTTCCATCAATGAAAATATTGTACTCATGCTATTTGCCTCTGAAAGGCATTTTTCCTTTTTGGTGGGCCCATTAATCCCTGAGGAATGGCCACAATTGCATAGTTCCAGAGATCAAGTCCTTAGAAGGCCAGGAACAGATTAGCACTGTTCCCAGCCTCTGACTTCTGATGCTGTTTGCTTCTGCTGAAATGCTGCTGTGAATGCTGATGCTTCAGGGTCACTTTGCTCTGAGAGCTTCTTTTTTCCAAGCAAGAACTCTTCCAAAGAATCTGTAATTCTCCAGAAGCTTAGGTGAATATTTTTAAAAGCATACATGAGGGTACGTCTAATAGTTCATGGGAAATGGAATGAAAAGATAACTTTACTGGGGCCGGCATTGTGAAGCAGTAGGTGAGACCTCTGCCTGTGATGCTGGCATCCAATACGGGGGCACCCGTTTCAGTCTCAGCTGTTCTGCTTCCCATCCAGCTCTCTGCTAATGCACCTGGGAAGGTATTTGGTCCCCTGCCCCCCACATAGGAGACCAGATGAAGTTCTGGGCTATTGGCTTTACAGCCATTTGGGGAGTGGACCAATGGACAGAAGAGTTTGTTCTCTCTCTGTCTCTCCATCTCTCTCTCTGTCATCCTGCCTTTCAAATACATAAAATCTTTTTTAAAAAATGTAAGATCAGTTTATTTTGGTAACAAAAATGGAAGCCCATGCAGTTTCTGTATAATGCATATTTCCATGAACTTTTTGGAGACCCTTCAAATACATGGATTTCAAAAAAAATTGTGGGATGTGAGGGCGATCTGGCTGCGACATCCGTCACCCCATTGATTACCAGGGTTGATTCGGCTGATCTGGCTGGCCAGGCAGGAGTCCCCTTCCTCCCTCACCGCTCCATGTGCGTCCCTCCCGAAGCGGCGCGCTCGGTAGAAGAGGACGACCTTCCCCGCTAGAGGAGGACCGGTCTTCAGTCAAGGGTATAGGAGTAGCTGCACTCCCCTGCTAGAACCTCCAAACAAGCTCTCAAAAAATAATTGTGTACCTATAGAAGTTTATATTTTAATTCCATTTCCCATGAACATTTTGAAGAACAATCATCTATAAATGTCCCTGTTGTTGACAACTAGCTTATTGTGGAATTCAAGATGGGGCAAGGGGTCATCCAAAATTATCACCAACTACATACAGAGAATTTTACAATCTTGACATTTTTTAACTTTCCCATAAGAATATTTGTTCCTTGCCCCTTCATGATACCCCTTACATTTACAGACCAGCAAATAGTTTTTCATTCATTGTCCACCCTCTAAATCTGTCAGGTTTGTATCAATCCAGTTCTACATGGATGAAGAAGTAGACACTCTGAATTCCTATGACAACTAAATGCAAAATCATGTGAATTTTTACCTCTTCCCCTCCTAGGGATGTATTTAGAGAACTGTGTGCAGGTTCACAGGTTCACCCCTAATATTTGCAGAGCTAAGGGAAAGAAGAACAAGTAGAGGCCCATATACTACATGTCTAACTGGTTGGAGGCTATAAATCAGACTCATAAACTAATACTCTTCTGATTTCCTTTCTTGGTAAATGGATCTTCAAACGGAATAATGAATTAGGGGATTTCTCAGAAGTTGGTGGCAGACCAAGCCCTTGCCCATGGCCTGCAGCCATGGGCTACTCTTACCTTTTGTTTGCTTGCAAATGTTACCCCTCTCACCTGCAAACTTTACCCAGATGCCTAATTCCCTGGAGTCATTGGTTCTTTCCTGATTAGCCAGGCTAAATCCCCAGGTTCCCTGGAAGAGGATTTAGTGCCTAGGTTGTCATGAGGGGAGAGGGGAGGGCAGGTGTTAAATCCCAGGGAACAACATACTCATGGTATCCCAGCATCTGCTTGCATTGATGCTAAACTGGGGTCTCTATTGAAAGTATTCATGTTCCAGAGCTGAGAGAGGCTGGATTCTAATCTCAGGAATCCTAGAGTGCTTCCACTCCTAACAAGACACACTTATATCTTCAAGCTCCATTATGACATTAGCAAAGTTAAGGGTGCACTTAGGAATGAAGATATCTTAGACAAAAACAATTTTACCAAATTCATAAGCATACTTATGTTCCTACTTTTCTTTCTGAAATTTCAACCTATATGTTGTTAACCAACTTACCTTGTCACCTTTGTACCCAGGAAGTCCCTAATTAGAAGAGAGAACAAAAGTAAAATGTGATATTACCAGGCACAGTTAGAGAAAGTATTAGATGTTTTTCACTTCTAAGGTATAACAAAAACACATCTGTACAATCTTGGATAATAAGATCATATAAACGTAAGGTATTTCATTGTTCTTTGTGCTTGGCAAATGTACATTTACTAGGGAGAAGAAAAGAACCTAATTTTTCTTTATTACTTTCTATTTTCAGTCCCAGGTATTTTTTTCAACCCAATTCTTTCCCTTTTGGCCCCAAACAGAGGACAGAATGTCCCTTGAAAGCCATTGTCAAAGCAACCACATTTAAGTGTCCTTTCAAAGTTGTTTTAAACCATGAACTGTGGCAGCAGAGACTGTTTCACAGAAATTTCTTAGAGAAATTGGTTTGAACATGAGCTGAGCTAATGACCTTTAAAATGTACATAAACATCTGTATCACTTAGGGTCCTCCTTTCAAATTTGGTCAGGAATCTATAATATCAAGGAAATGAATGGTTCCTTTATCAACACTAATGAGACAGCGACCTTTATGTTATTGTCTTTTATCTCACACTTAATAAGGGGGCCCACACCTCTGCTGTCTTCAGAGCCATTTGGGGGATCCTGCACAGCTCCCCCTGCTGTGTTTCTTCCCAAAGCCCTCTAAGTAATACAACATCCAATGTTCCAAAGGACTGAGGGATCAACCAACTCTAAGCCACAGCAAGTCTTCTTCAACTGTGATTGCACATTTTCCCCATACAACTGTATTCTCAAGTATGAAAACAGAATTACAACACATAAAGTGAGTTGGTGAAAGCAACGGAATAAGCAAGCCATTGCTGCAGTTACAGGTAAGGGCAACTGCACAAGGTTGTCCTGTGCATGGATTTTCTTTTCATTCTTATTTTTTTTTAATCAGAAGAGGCCATCATGAAAGGAAGAGCCCTTCTCTGCTGATGAGTGATCACTGAATGGAAGATGAACCCTGAATCAGTGAAGTCAGACCTCTGTTAAAACAATCACAGCTAAAGTGTAGAGAGCGCCAGGACATCCAATCTCGGGAATTTTGGGGCATACTCTGCCCCTTAAAACACACAACTATGTTTAAGCTTCTCTAATTACTTTTTCTTTTTTAATTTATTTGACAGGTAGAGTTATAGACAGTGAGAGAAAGAGACACAGAGAGAATGGTCTTCCTTCCGTTGGTTCACCCCCCAAATAGCCGCTACGGTCGGCACTGCGCCAATCCGAAGCCAGGAGCCAAGTACCCCCTCCTGGTCTCCCATGCGGGTGCAGGGCCCAAGCACTTGGGCCATCCTCCACTGCCCTCCCGGGCCACAGCAGAGAGCTGGACTGGAAGAGGCGCAACCGGGACTAGACCGGTGTCTGTATAGGATACCGGCACCACAGGCAGAGGATTAACCAAGTGAGCCACAGCGCCGGCCCCCCTTCTCTAATTACTTTGTATTAAACTATTAAGTTTGTATTTTCAAAGAAGCCAACTGTAGTTTAGTAAAAACAAAGATATATTACTTTTTATATTACTTTCTTCCTTTCCTACTCTTCCTGAAATCGCTGGTAAGGTTACTGTTTGGCTGCTATCAACTCTTTCTTCTCTCTTTCTTTCAGTGCTTCTTAATTACTAGTTTTAAAACATTTAGGAATGGCATTTGGCCAAGCCATTAAGATGTCGGGTTAAAGTGAACTGGGTCCCATCCTGCGTTTGATACCCACTCTGCGTCCTAACTCCAGCTTCCTGCTAATGTGGACCCTGTAAGGCAGAGCTGATGGCTTAAGAACCGGGTTCCTGCTACTCACGTGGGAGATCTGGAATGATTTATGAGCTCCCAGCACCCAGCTTCAGCCTCCCCTCAGCCCCAGCTGTTGCAGGCATTTGGGAAATGAACCAGCAGATGGGAGGAGCATCTCTCCTCTCCTTTTCCCTCTTCCCCCCACCCCTCCTCCAAGTAAAAAAATGATTTTAAAGCATCCAAAATTGTACTCATCGGTCTTTGACATTCTCCTATTTCTAGTAACGGCACAATGACAAATCAGAGTCAAAATGTTACAATCGTCTTCATTTTCTTTCTCTTACTTACCTGTTGTATTTTTCATCTCATTTGTGTAAGATTCCCCAACAACTTCCCACCTTACTTGGTTGAAATCCGCTCTTCTTACCCTTGTCTACTAGGACTTACGTGATCCAACCCCTGCCTACTTCTGTAGCCTCATCCTCCACCATGCTTCATTAGCAGGTCCTGCTTTTCTATTTCTCATGCCTGCCAAGTTTGTTCTCACCTTAGGACCCTTGTATCTGCCACTCCTTCCACCTAGCACACCTCACTACCTTGTTCACACCTTCATAACACTTCTCACTGCCTGAAATGAGGCATCTTTGTCTGCTTATTGTATCCCCTGCATGGCTCATTCCTATTTCCTAGCTCTAAAAGAAACACCAGTGCTCAGCGAATGTTCAGTCAATATTTGCTGCATACATGACCTAACTACCACACGTCATCATTCTCTCCCCTTCCCAAATTCTCATCATGTTCCCTTCTGCCTTTTTTTCCCCTCACTGTAGCTCAATGCTGTCTAACACAATAGAACCAGAAATGCAAGCCACATATATAATTAAAATGTTCTCATAACCACATTTAAAAGAGCAAAGAAGTGAAATCAATTTTAATAATATATTCTGGTATCCCAATAGGTTCAAAAAACTGTCACTTCAGCAGTTGATTGAATTTTATCTTTAAAAAAATGAGATAAAAATCTCACGGATAAATTTCATTAAAAATTTATCAATGATATATTTTATATCCTTTCATTTGTACAAAGTCTTTAAACTTCAGTGTGTATTTTTGCTCCCACAGCTCATTTCGGTTCAGACCAGCTGGGTTCCCAGTGCCCCACAGCCACATATGGCCAGCGGCTTTCCTGTTACGGACAGAGAAGGTCTTGTCAATTCCTGCCACCTCTCATGCTGTCTGCAGCTTCACACATGCTTCTAAGCAATGCTATTTCCTTGCTCCAATGTCAGACTCTCTTTTGGAGCCTTCGAGCACTTTACCCAGAATCTCAGGGGCTTCCCACTATCCAACAAAGCACGGATTTTGCAGCCAGACTTGAGCATGAATTGTGACCTCAGCCCTTCCTGCAGACCGTGGCTGATGCTGTCTCTTCAGGTACCCTATCTCATCAGTCCCCAAGCCAAAGCCTCCACCGCCCTTGCCTCTCAGGGCGTCCTGTCCATCAGGAGTGCCTGCTGCTCCCCCATCCTGCTCCATCCCTGTACTTCTTCAGGGGTCATCCCACAAAACCTAACCTGGTAGCTCTGATCTCGCCTGAATGCCCGAATGTCTGAATGCCAATATTTTGCTCAGGCCTTTTTCACAATATTTAGACTTTTTTATAGCTGCTTGGGATATCTTATCTCTCCTGAGATAACACACTTTTAAAAGCTGTAAGTGGAATTAGCTTTATTTTCATGTACTAGTATACTTTATATGTGGATGATACCTAAGAGATGTTTCTTGAATGAATAACACAATGTTCTGAATCAATTTCTATTGGCATTACCAAGTTTTCTATGAGATATTTTCACTAAATGGATTAAAAACGCCAAGAGAACAACTTTTTCAATCTCTGTCTCAGACAGGGCTCGCATTGACAGGGATGGCAGAGAAGGGCAACATAACGTGCCTCCATTTCATTCCCTGTATGCTTCTCTGCTATTCTCCACATTTACCGCAGCACCCACAGAGATGCAAAATGCAAAATGTGCTATAATTATTTCCCAAGAAATCTCTTCTGTCTTCTAATTTGCGAGATTAGAAATCAACCAGAATGATAAATTCTATTTTGTCTGTAGAATTAGATTACAAATGACTATACTCGTGGAATTCTAATTCTTCACCACACATAAAATATAAGAAAACACATAAAAACAGCCTTCCCCATCTGAGCCCTTCAAAAATGCCTAATTAAGCATCAGGGAACATCACGTGTTGAACACCCCTTATCCCATCATCAGTCCTGTTGAGCAAAGTAGTGTATCACCACATTTCCACTTCTCAGATTCTATCTGGCTGCTGGAGCCATCAAGAGCACAGGTGGATATAAGTCATTTCTGCCCTCCAGGGGTCAGAATGGTCAATCAGACTCTGAATACCTGGGATCCCATTCTAGTTGTATACGTACCCTTGGCCCTTGTTCTCCAGTTTCACCTTTTTGAGCATCACCCTATGACAAACAAAAAAAAAAAACTCAGTCAGAATCCAACAGCCCTGCAAAGTGACTGCTCAGTAAAATGTGTTCTTCAGAGGCCCCATGTTAATAGGGTAATCCAACTTAGGGAAACATCAATAGCCGTGACATTGACATTTCCACCTTACAACAGGGAGCAATGGCAGCTCAGATAGACTTGGCCCACTGGAGTGAAGCCAGAGGTGTGGGGGCAGAACCCAGGTCCATTTCAGAGCTCAGACTGCATCCTGCATGGGCAGCACACTTCGCATGGACTTCACTTGGAGTAGCTGTTTGGGCACGTTTCCAAGGGGCTGAGGAACAGTCCCCAAAATGTCCTAAAGAATGACTGCTTGATTTCAGCAAGACTTAGAAAAATTATTGTGGGGCACAAAATTGCACACTAAATAAATGAAATATGAACATCAGCTTATGACAGGTATCAACACAACAAAAAGAAAAAGGCCTCATGGCATCAACACAGACTTGCCTGAGAGGAGTGACCGTACAGTTGTATATGTGTGTGTATGCTGCAGAGCTACCAAAGATGCTATGACAAGCAAAAATCCTCTCATGCAGATAACTGAATATATTGTTCAGAATCTCCTGAAAACACTCTCAGAAATAAGGCTATCAAGTAAAAATTTTGAGTATTTGAATGTTTGAATGACTTCTACCTATTGACTAATTGCTTTCAAAATACATGTGCCAAATTACCTTTGCAAGGAAGAACAAACCAGTTTCACCAATACATTGCTATCACTGGTTATTAGTATTTTAGCTTTATTGCCTTAGTTACTATAAGAAAAAAATTTTAAAGTTCAAAACACATACATACACACACACACACACACCAAACTTTGTGGACTAAAAAACCGTCCCCCCCCCCCGCCCCCCAAAAAAATAATCCTCTGGATTCCAAAGTTTCAAAAATGTAAATAATTAGTGTTAAAAGGGGATCCTGTCTTGACTTTCACTATCTAAAGAAAGCAAATTCAGGGCCTGGAATTGTGGCATAGCAGGTAAAGCAATGCTGGCAACTCATATAGGTACCAATTCATTGCTAATTCAGTTCTGGCTGCTGTACTTCCAATCCAGCTTCTTGCTAATACCCTAGGAAAAGCAGAAGATAGCCCAAATACTTGGGCCCTTGCATCCATATGGGAGACCTGGAAGAAGCTCCTTGGTTTCTGGCTTCAGAATGGCACAACTCTGGCTGTCGTGGCTACTTGGGGAGTGAACCAAAAGATTGAAAATCTCAGATCTCTCTCTGTAACTCTGCCTTTCAAATAAATAAATAAATAAATAAATAAATCTTTTTTAAAAGAGAAAGCAAATGAATTTCTATTTCTTCCTTTACTAGCTTTACTTGACCTCTTGAAATTGTTTCCTTTGTAATTATCAGAGACTTGATATTCCCTCATCTATTTTATAAGGTTTTACATTCAATAGCATTTAACTGGTGATCCATTATATTTGATGTAAATATTTACTAGATATTTTTCTTTTTTTAATGATTATTTCTTTTCTTTTTTAAAAAAGATTTATCTTATTAATTTGAAAGGCAGAGTTACAGAGAGACAGAGAGGTCTTCCATCCTGGTTTACTCCCCAAATGGCTGCAACAGCCAGGGCTGGGCCAAGCCAAAGCCAGGAGCCTGGAGCCTGGAGCCAGGAGCCAGGAGCTTCCTTGGGGTCTCTCATGTGGGCACAAGAATCCAAGCCCTTGGGCCATCCCCTACTGCTTTCCCAAGTGCATTAGCAGGGAGCTGGATTGGAAGCAGGGCAGTCAAGACTCCAACTGGTGCTCTATGCAACAACCTCTAATAATTATTTCTTATTGTAAAAATTTTGTCTCACATTGGTTTGTGCCCTGGCTGCTCCACTATGCAGGACCCTGCTAAAGACCTGGGAAAGCAGTGGAGGATGGCCCAAGTGCATGGGCCCCTGCTCCCATGGGAGGCCCAGATGAAGCTCCTGGTTCTGGCTCCTAATTGGCTCAGCCCTAGCCATTGTGGCCATCTGGAGAGTGAACAAGTACACGAAGGTCGGTCAGTCACTCTCTCTCTTTCTCTTCCTCTCTCTGTGTAACTCTTTCAAGTAAATAAAAAATCTTTTAAGAAATATAAAAAAGCAAGTGCTAATGTCCATTCAATGTGAAAATACATTACAAGTTCATGAAACATTGTCTTAATTGATTTGGGCCACTATCATTTAAGTACAAGTTCTATTTATTCAATATCCCAAGGTTTCCTAAACTTACTGATGAAAATGTTCATGTAATTCAGAATTTGTAACTGCAAGCTAACACAAGATAGATAATATTGGAGAGCTACATCTTGTGTTTCTCACAAAATATCAGATTTTTGCTCATTCTATTTGTTTTATTAGTTCTGTACTTTAAATAAATCTAAGAAGTAGATACATTGGATTAAAAAAAAAAAGCTGTTTAAGCCCTTGTCTCAAATGTTGAGAAACAATTTTTTATTTTTCATACTATTTGTCAAACTCTTTGTTTAGTGAAGGGTTAATCATGTGTATAAAGTTAATTGAAAATAGAGCTTTGTAAAAAGTAAGAATGAGAATAGAAAAGGGAAGAGGAAGAAGGGTAGGAATGCAGGCAGGAGGGTGGGTAGGGTGGGAAGAATCACTGTGTTCCTAAATTTGTACATATGAAGTGCATGAAGTTTGCATACCTTAAATAAAAGGTTTCTAGGTATAAATACATACATACATACATATATACACACAAAAAGCAAGTTTAAAAAAAGCTGTTTATTCATTTACCGGGTTTCCTTTTGGTCCTCGCTCACCTTTGACACCTGGGTTTCCATGTGTACCCTGAAGGCAAAGAGAAAGAAAAAGATCATTGTGAATTGGTGTTCTATTAGTTCCTGATACTTTCTAATAATTTCTAATTATCCATATTGCATAAAATGAAAGAAAACTGGAAAACCTTTACCTGCCAAGCAAATTCAACTCCTTTTGTCCCTTTATTACACAAGGAAAACTGCACTGTCTTGAATAGACAGATTTTCTAAATTTGCTTAAGTGAATATAATGCTCCCCTTTCCCATCAGCTACTGCTTCCCTAAGCAGTTACTTCTCAGGAACTTTGCAAACAAAATCTGACATCGAGGGGGCAACCTCAAATGATGAGAGAAGGGAGCTCTTCAATCCTGTTCCACAAAGGCAAGACCTGTTCACAAGTCATCAAAAAAGGTTGCTTTCCTGGGAACTGATTTTGGAAAGTCTTCAATAACTGTTAAATATCATGTTTCTATGGCTTATCCTTATTAAAACACAACATTAGTAAGTGAATGAACTTATCAGATTAGCTCTGCAATTGTAAGCTTTCTTACTGTTCATTTTAAAATCCATCACGGGGCCGGCACCATGACGCAGTGAATTAATCCTCCACCTGCAGTGCCGGCACCCCATATGGGCGCTAGTTCTAGTCCCGGCTGCTCCTCTTCTGATCCAGCTCTCTGGTATGGCCTGGGAAGGCAGTAGAAGATGATCCAGGTGCTTGGGTCCCTGTACCCGTGTGGGAGACCTGGAAGAAGCTCCTGGCTCCTGGCTTCAGATCAGCACAGCTCCAGCCATTGTGGCCATTTGGGGAGTGAACCAACAGAAGAAGAGGACCTTTCTCTCTGTCTCTCCCTCTCACTGTCTCTAACTCTACCTCTCAAATAAATAAAAAATCTTAAAACACACACACACACACACACACACATCTGAACATCCTTTCCCCAGGCAATCTCTTAGTGAAATAAGTTGAAACTAATACTTTGTAACACAGGAAAGTTCAACCTTTGCTTTACCAAAAGTAAGTTTCTACGGCTGGCCCATTACCCTGTAGGTATCTAACTCTGTTTTGGAAAAAAAAAAAAAAAAGAGAGAGAGAGAGAGAGAAAGAAAGGGAGGGAGGGAGGGAGGGAAGAAGACAAGTGTGGGCAGACATCCTCACTCTTTAAAGCCTTGATTGTTAGCCTGGTTTTAAAAAACACAGGCCTTAGAACCGAGTGTCAACTTGAAATGTGTTATATTCTAACATATTCACAGTCCACATTCCCCCCACCCCCAAATACAAGCATTAGTTCAACATTTTTATCCACTCATTTTGTGAAACTTTTTCGCTGGGCTTCTGAACTCTTCAGGATAAGGCTTGGAACCACATAAATACACTGAATACTGGACAAGCAGATGGATGCTTCCTGCTGATATGTGCTGGAGAAACGTTCAGCGTGTCGGGCTGCCCCTTGTCCCAGCTCTGCTCTCCATTCCTGCTATCCACACCTGGGAGGCAGCTGTAAGGGCTCAAGTACTTGAGTCCCTGCCATTCCCATGGGAGACCCAGACTGAGTTCCTTGCTCCTGGCTTCAGCCTAGCCTAGAACTGGTTGTTATGGACACTTGGGGAGTGAATCAGTGGGTAGGAGATTCTCTCTCTCTCTCCCTTTAAAATAAAATAGAAAAACAAAAAATTTAATTTTTGAAAAATAAAAATATAATAACAAAACATATCATAACAACATAAAATAAAATAAAAACTCAGCATCTCTAGTAATCCCAATGTTACTTCAAATATCTTTCCATGACAGACAGGACACCTACCAAATATTAGGCCAGAATATAAAGGAAGACTCCTCTGAGGACAATCCTATCAAATTTGGAATCAGCAGGACCAGCATTGTGGTAAGCAGGTTAAGCTGTCACCTGCAAAACCAGCATTCCATATAGATGCCAGTTAAAGTCCCGACTCTCCACTTCTAATCCAGCTCCCTGCTAATGCACCTGAGAAAGCAGCAGAAGATGGCCCAAGTGTTTGCTCCCCTGCCACCCACATAGGAGGCCCCCATGGACTTCCAGACTCCTGGCTTTGGGCTGGCCCAGCCCCAGCAGTTGAGGCCATTTGAGGAGTGAACCAGTGGATAGAAGATGGTTCTCTCTCTCTCTCTCTCTCTGCCCCCCAACTCACCACACCCCACCCCACCCTCCCCCCCAAAAAAACTCTGCCTTTGAATTATTAAAAAAAAACTGAAGCATTATGGTCAATCCTGCTTTAATTTTGGGTTGCTTCCATGTCAGAGATTCACCCCTAATCCCCTCAAAGCATCCTGATCAGCTTGCTGTCTGTGAGGCCTCTCTGCTGCGGCCGCTCCTCTAGATTCATGTGAAGGTAGCTTCCAGGGTGGTCTGTGCCGTGGCCTTAGTGGGATAAAGGTTTGCCTAAGGCTCTGATGATCTGTGTTATCGTTTTCTATATTTTCACTTCATTATTGAGAAATTCTGCTCGTAATGATCATGAAAGTAGTGAGATGTCTTTGGTGGAGAAACCTCATCATTTTAAACCAAGTCTGCCGTCATTAGGTCAGCAAAATCTGAGGCCTATTTTTAAGGACAGATGTGTCCCTTTAGAAATAGAAGAAACAGTCTGTCCATTTTTGCTGTGATTTCCAAACAACTGCTTTGCAACAGCAGGAGATATCCCCAGAGCTTTCCAGTGAGAGCAGAGCTGTCATTGCCAGGACGATGGACTGTGCCCAGCACAGGACTCAAGGTCAAAGCAGAAACATACTCACAGGAGCGCCTGGCTCGCCTGGGTCCCCTTTCTCGCACTCACACATCTGGCGCTCACACTGAATTGACAAAGAAACACAATATTAACACACAGTGAGAGAGAGCACTCAGGTATTATTCAGTGTATGACTAACTGAAGTCGTCTTCTGAAGAAATCTTACTTTGCAAGTTTATAAGGATTTTTTTTCTTCCGTTATTTTAGGCAGACTCAGGCCTAGTTGGAGTCAGCTAATCAAATATTACTGAGTGTTACCATGCTTATGTAAAACAGATAGTCCATCAAAAATGCATATATAACTTAGAGGCAGACACTTATGGTAGCAGTTAAGAAACGGTTAAGGTGCCAGCATCCCACATCTGAGTATCTGGGTTCCTTTCTCAGCTCTGACTCTTGACGCCAGCTTCCTGCTAATGCACACTACAGAGGCAGCAGTGATGGATCAAGTGGTTCAGTCCTCGCCACCCACACGGGAGATCTGGAATGAGTTCCCAGTTCCCGACTTCTGTCCTGGCCAGTGCTAGCCATTGTGGGCATTTGGAAAGAGAACCAGTGTATAGGAGTGTGCTCTCTTTCTTCAGCTCAAATAAAATTAAAAATGTATATATATAACTTATAGATGGCAATTGACAGGGGAAAACAAACATTTCCAGGTAACTTAGAATTTCTGCTGTTTTTCTTTATAACACACATGGAAACTCAATCAAATACAAATATTAAATGCTCATTTTCTTGGCAAGGAAAAACATTTGAGCTATGATATTTTATCAATTCCAAGATGTACATTTTCCCTCATTTTGACCTTTCTAAAACCAGAGTACCCCTCAAACTAGCTGCCAAGCAGGCCCAATCATGATGAAGGAATTATTTTCTGCAAACACCCTTCAGGTGGTACAGAATGAAATGGGAAAAAGGACGAGTGCACTTAGGGACTATGGCATCACCAGTGCTTTGGATGAGGCCAGCATTGTGTAGACAAACAAGAGAATCAACAATTCAGACAAAAAGTGATTCTGAAGGTGTAGACTTTGACATGAAGACGTTTTAGAAACCATCCATTTTCCCTTATATATATGCAAAAAAAGTGATACAGAATTCAAATAACTCTAAAAGGACTCTTAAGTATAAAATGCAAATTAGAATTGATAAGAAGGCACAATATTCAAGTCTAATTGGCAAGGTTTTTTTCATTTTGTAGTGGGTCATAATACAATAATATATCTAACCATGTATAATTCAATGAAACTCCTACAAGGTTTGGATGGTTTCTATTATTTTATGCAATAATACTTACAAATGCCCTGATGCTAAATAAGTAATGGATTGAACAAAGTTCAGGTGCTCCAAACTCTTGGCTTTAAGAAATTCATGTCTAGTACAGTAGCCTTTGGGAGCTGGTGATCCCCTATAGTGCTAGGTCCTATCCAGTTCATTGATACTGGTCGGCTTCCTTTGCCAGGTGGTCTGATTGACAACATCAGATTCTCTTTGCTGCACAATAGGAAGGAGGATGAGCTTGAAGTCAATCAAAAGGTGGCAAGAGAGGATTCCTGGGTTTGTCTGTTAGCTAGGACCTCTCACCTAACTGTAGCCAACACCAGGAATACCCCCCGCCCAGAGTAGAATTCACATGATTAGCAGGTGTCAGAGACAGAGAAACAGAATACATATTGAATATTTCCTACTTTTCCCAATTTTCCAACCTGCAGTGGATATGATGGCATAAAAGAAACCAGACGGCTGCCTCAAAACAGAGTGGCTCCTTTCTTTAAGGGAATTAAGCTTTGTTATTTAGTCACACCTTATCTTCTAATGTGAATTATCACGATGATTAGCTAAGGCCAGCTTTTAGAGTAATTCACAGTAATCAAAGCACGTGGTGCTTACCTTCTTTTCAAATAGGATATCCTAGGAGGGAAAAGAATGAGACATTAATTCAATTCATGGTTCTGCTTCCAGCTTCTCATTAGTCTTAATTATTCCCTATGGGATATGCAATTTTCAGGAAGAATAGCAACTCAGCCTTTTTAACCTTGTAAAAGCAATAAAGCCGACCAGCCAGCCACCCAAGGAGCACTCGCAGCCACGGAAGAATAGGAGATATGAAGGGCACACACATTAAAAACTACTCTACATTTTCTAGGAACTTAGCCTGTTGCACCCTATGCTTCATCTTTGGTTTCCTTTATCAGCTTTATAATCTCCATAATTTGGCCATAATTATGAGCCATAATGAAAAAGTTCTCACTTTTACCTAAAAAGATTGAGGCAGAATATATAATTTTTTCTTTTTTTCTTCCCCTATACATATACACACTTATTGGAAGGCATTAAATCATTAATTTTAGAGGCATAATTTCACAAAATATTAATGGCCTTATATAATCATACTAAAACTCAAAAAGAGAAATTTAGAAAGCCCAGTGGCTTTTTTTTTTTAGGTTAAGGGACAACAAAAATTTGCATTAAAGTAATTCTCAGGAGAAAGGGTTTCTCTTTGAAATTCTATGAGCTTTACATGTGCCCTATTTGTAAAATTTCAGCCAAAGAAAAAGTGATTCAGTTTTTAGATTTTAAGAGTATCAGAAATGACATTTTCCAGGAAATCTGAAAAGTTCATAGAAATATGCATCATTTCTATAAAAAAAAGGACCTATATTTTCAACTTGCCATCTTGCAGAAAAAAAAAATTAAATGGTGGAAAAATAGTATCTCTCCCATATAGAAAAGTCATCATGAAAAAATGTTTGCTAATGATTCTGAGATGTCTATCATGCTCAACTTCTCATTCTGCATTAAGGAAATGTGCTTCCACAGTAATGCGACTTGGCCACAGTCGCTTGCTTGAGCTACATCCTTGTCTTCAAAGCCACTTCATACTTACCCACACAAGAATGAATTAACCAGAACATTTTTCAAGACTATTTCAGATTCATCATTTCAGAGAAATGTCACAATTTGGTTTTTGTCCAACTTCTTGGCCTCACTATTATAGTCCAGCTCACTTGGGCCTTACCTGACAAGTACATCAAAGGCCACTTCAGAAGTCAAACACTGGAAAGAAACTGACCAATGGTTACAGGCAGAATTAAAGTAGAAAGTCTGTGTCAAACTAGTGCCTTATGAGTGATGCTGAAGCACTGATTTACATTCTGTAAAACAGGAAATTGAAGTAGAAAACACTGGAATATCTGTTACAAGATATCTTAAATGAGGAATCTAAGGAGGAAATTAACAATCAGAGTTTGAAACTTCCTGGAGGATCCTACAACCCTTTGGTTTTGTTTTCCCTTCATTTCCATACCAACTAAGAACATAGAGGAACAAGGCAGTGAAATGTTTTAAACACTAATGTTTAATGAGGAAAAAAAGTTAGGCTGGGAATTAAGAGTCATCCTGGGTTGCCATCCAGTTTCAACTATTAACTAACCACGTGGCCTTGGACAGGTTATATGATCCTTCTAGGTAGTTTTTCCCATATATTGAAAGGGGGAAATTTGACCATGTGGTCTCAGGAGCTTTAAAACTCAGGCAACAGATGTTAGCTACAAAATTTAGAGTCTTGCCTATTACCCTCCACCACCAAATGCTTCAAATTACTTGGCATGTAAATCCAGGCTGAAAATAGATGATATTTGTATCTTCAAGAGACAAGAGGCCATCTGGAGAAATGTGAACTCATTGACCATGTAGATGTCAAATGGTATTATTTCTCCATAGGACATTTGGCTGCACTCACAAGAGTGAAGCTGTGGCTACACTAACTCTAGGCTGCCCAGGGCAACGCTGGATCACTCATTTGATCCTCACACCCCTTAGAGACCATCCCTGGAGAAATTCTTACACTTGTACACTTCAACATTTGCCAGTTTTAATCATTAAAATTGGAAATAGTTAAATAGACATCAATAGTAGAATGGGTCAATAAGTGAAATACTATCCAGAAGTTAAAGTGAATGCATTGGGCCTGCCTATTTCATCATAGATGAGCTTCCAAACACCACTGAGTGAAAACGCAAGTTGCTGATGGGTGCATACAATATGATGAAAATATTTAAAACACATCAAAAACTTGGTTTCTTCTGGGAGACAGGGAAAAGGAATCAGAAGGACTTTAGGAGAAGCAATAATAAAACAGCTAATAAGGCCGGCGCCGCGGCTCAATAGGCTAATCCTCCGCCTAGCGGCGCCGGCACACCGGGTTCTAGTCCCGGTCGGGGCGCCGGATTCTGTCCCGGTTGCCCCTCTTCCAGGCCAGCCCTCTGCTGTGGCCAGGGAGTGCAGTGGAGGATGGCCCAGGTGCTTGGGCCCTGCACCCCATGGGAGACCAGGAAAAGCACCTGGCTCCTGGCTCCTGCCATCGGATCAGCGCGGTGCGCCGGCCGCAGCGCGCCGGCCGCGGCGGCCATTGGAGGGTGAACCAACGGCAAAGGAAGACCTTTCTCTCTGTCTCTCTCTCTCACTGTCCACTCTGCCTGTCAAAAAATAAAAAAATAAAAAAAAAAAAATAAAAAACAGCTAATAATTCAAGTCAAATTGTAATATTGAAAAAACTACTGAAATAAAGAAAAAGTCAGTTTTGTCACTTGACAACCATTTTTTTTTTTACAATACGCAATAGCCATGTCTGTTTTTAAATTTATGAATTTACCTCTCGCTGTGCCTGATGTATACATTCACACTTTTGTTCATCTCTTCTTTTTGAAGATTGAACTTCTGCATTGCTTATTGCTATTTAAAAATACGTATCAGAAGGCTCAAAACCATAACAACCCAACCAAGTAGCTATTTTGGGAACACATTTGATTTCATATTTGCTGGAATTTATATCTCTATGGAAACAAAAGTGGACCTAAAACTACACAATAGAAGAGACTGTTTCAAACAAAGAACAAAGCTCTATCCCTCAGGGCACTTTCAGCCTGTAAGCCCCAGGAACAGAGGGCAACACACGTCAACTGTGTAGGAAGGAGGCCTTAGATTGGGGTCTGGTAGCAAGATGGTTTCTTGGAATAGGTGGGGTTTCTGAATGACTTTGAAGAGAGGAATGCAAAGGATCAAGTCATGGGTGGTATGTGTTCTATATGTCAAAGTTTACAAGGAAGAAAGTCACAAAGAGTAGGCAAGAGGACAAAGGAAGCAGTGATGGGGGACATTTAAAGAGAGTGACAGAAGGGCCCATGTGGCCAGAACTGGGGGCCTTGGGGAGTAGTGAGGCTTCCATTCAGTCAGAGAAGCAGGTTGTAAGAACAGCTGGGGCTGGCGCCACGGCTCACTAGGCTAATCCTCCGCCTTGTGGCACCGGCACCCCAGGTTCTAGTCCCAGTCGGGGCGCCGGATTCTGTCCCGGTTGCCCCTCTTCCAGGCCAGCTCTCTGCTGTGGCCAGGGAGTGCAGTGGGGGATGGCCCAAGTGCTTGGGCCCTGCACCCCATGGGAGACCAGGAGAAGCATCTGGCTCCTGCCTTCGGATCAGCGCGGTGCGCAGGCTGCAGCGCGCCGGCCGTGGTGGCCATTGGAGGGTGAACCAACGGCAAAGGAAGACCTTTCTCTCTGTCTCTCTCTCTCTCTCCCTGTCCACTCTGTGAGAACAGGACTGAGGCCAGAGCAAAGGGAGTGTTCCAATGCAGTCTAAGGGAATCCTGGAGTGTCAGTGCAAAAGGATAAAGAAACAGACGCCTTCATTAGGTCAAAAAAATGTACACCAAAGTCATGGATTCAAGTTTTTATGATGTTATACATATGGGTGCTTCAAAAAGTTCACAAAAAATGGAATTCAAAGAATTTTGGTACAAATGGTTTGGAAATCCATGCAAATGAGTGATCTTCAAAATATTCAGGGAAAAAATGCATGAACTTCAAAATATTTTTATCCAAAATAAACATATCTTTTAATTCCATTTTTCCATGAATTTTTTGACATACGTTCATACGTGAGGGACAGGATATTATACATTTGGATTTTTAGAAAAATGGATCAATTTGTGACAATTGTTATTCTCATAAATATTTAATTACAAAGATGTTAAAAGCATGAATTTTTTAGAAGTTTCCACATACCTTCTTCTACTCTTCTAAAGCTTTAAGCAATGTATTCAGGAGATGAAGTTGAATTATTTCTTAGCTTTTAATATTGTTATGTAAATTACAATAAAATATTTTACATATTCCCTTCAGTTTGGAATTATCAAGTCTCTCTAGGGTAATTCAGAACTGAAGTATTTTCACTGGGTTTTTACATGATACTTCCTATGCAAGCATCAAGGAATGTACAGTGATTCCTTATTTGTCTTGGCTCCTGTAAAATCTATTCATTGTAGACACTCAGGCGAATTAAAGTCAACTAAAGTCTACTCAACAAAAAAAGGAATAAAGTTCTAATGCAAAAGACAACTCAGATTCATTTCAAAATCACTATACTAGGCAAAGCAATCCTGACACAAAAAAAGTACATTTACTTGTACTTGTAAATTTACTTGTATCAAATTCTAGAAGTTATACACACATCTAGAGAGCTGAAAGAACAGCTGCTCACGAGCAAGACAGGTATGAGGAACCATTTGAGAGCGATGGAAATGTTCTACATTCTAATCCTGTTGGTAGTTTCATCTGTCGAAACTCAGGGAACTTTAAGGAGACGCAGTTTTGAACTTAAATTGTACCTAATCAACTTATTTTAAAAGTCATCTACAGAATTATTTTAAGCCAAAAAGTTAACAAAAAAAACTAAAGATGCAAAAAAATGGATTTGATGAGGGAATTTTCCAATGATCTGAACAAGCGTTGATTTCTGCCTCCCAGATGGTGACCGTGTGAAACACTGCACCCTGGCTGGCCTTCTCTGAGGAGCCTAGGAAGTACTTCGGATCCTGGAAGTGTTTGGAAAGCAGCGTCTCCTTCTAAGAAGGGGCTTATTCACAGAGCTCCCATCTGAACAAACAGGCTGAAATCACAGGATGCTAACCAAGGAAGAGCTGCGTCATTGCTTGTTTTCTGGTTTCTCCAGAAACAAACAGTTTGGCTTCCAGTCTACTGCCAAGAGCCTGTGTTCTCAGGTGGGCAGGAGCTCTCCGCCAGGGTGTGTCTGCAGGGAGCAGGAGCATCCTGAGCCGACACATCTGGTCAGACAATTTGCTGCTGGCCCATCCTCTGCAGTGAGAGCTTCTCACCCTGGTAGGGAGGTGGGGAGATAGCAACAGATGACGCAAGGTCTCATCCCCAGGATTTTCCCTGCTCATGCCGGGATCTTTTGTTTTAAGCTTAATGTTGAGGACTCCTTAAACCATAACACACACAGGACTAGGTGTCAGCCAGGCACGACTGGCTTTCCTGAAAAAAGTTTCCCCTTTCCTGAAAAAAGTTGCTCAGAAGGAGCCTTTGTCCCAAGGACCAGGGGCTAGGCCTCTCATCTCTGTCTCTGATCTCAGCAGAACTCCCCTTTGAGCCCTCCATCCTCCAGTATGAAAGGCCAGAAATCACAGCAGCTTTGGAGGAGAAATGTTGCTTAACCATAGAAAGGCAGTTCTAAACAGAGAAAACCTTAAAACCAGACACTATGTGCCTTCTCAATACGCCACTACAAGGTTAAGCATGCAGACTCCAGGGTCTTTGCTGACCTTAACTTTGAAGCCATTAAATCAGAATACTAATGTTCCCTACAATGTAAGATTGTGGGGAACACTGAAAAAATAAGATATATAAAGTGCTCAGAGTAGTGCTTAATATTTGGAGTGCACTTGCACATTATTTAAACAAGGAAAACTCTAGTCTCTGCCAGAAACAACTGGGTGTAAAATGGGAACAGTAAAGTTGGGAAGAGGACTGGGGGAAGGGACAAAGGAGCAACACAGTCTCTGGACTTGCAACCAACAGCAAACGGCCATGTGAAAGGCTCAGTTCCTAGCACACACATCTATCTGCTTTGTCCTCTTCTCAGGAAATCACAAAGTCAGTATTTTTAAGAAGATCAATTTTTAACACTTAACAAATCATCCAGTTTATCTCCAGGAGTTTTCTCCTGGAGAAACGTTGCAAAGAAGGATTTCATTTTGATTGTTTTGCCTTGTGTTTCCCAAAACAGCAAGGAAAGGCTCTCATACGTAGCTGAGCAACGAATCCAGAAAACCATCAACACAGCTAATCAGCCCAGCTGAGTGGGAATCACTATTGTGATGGGAGAAGCTGTTGGTTGGGTGTAGGCTGCAATCGATTTTAAATTGGATGGACTTGTTAAAGTCTTCTCCTACTTCGTAGAAGTTAACATTGAAGTCTCTACACTGAGTAGAATAATGTGACAATAAATGAAACAGTCAAAAATACTTCTGCCGGTGTGGCATGGGGAGAAACCAAAAAACAGCAGACCCCCAGTTGACCACAAAGTCAATGCAAGTCAGCAGTGTTCATCATCTTAGGATGTATACAAACAGGAGCCAGACGTATATGACTGGAAAGCAAGCCTCCCCAGATCCTCAGCATTGGTGAGTAATACAGTTAGGAATGTGATTCCAGGAAATGAATCTGGTAGTTTCCCAGGTTATCTGGTGTAAACTATGAAAGAAGTGGAGAGACTTCAGAAAGATTTCTTTCCACTCCCAAAGTGATAATTCCACTTAGTTTCTTTGTTTTTTTTTTTTTTGACCCAATATCTATCCTTACAGAAATTCTAAACAAGTTATAAATAATATGGCAAGAAATAGATGACCAACCCATTGGTACCTACCAGGCGATCCCAAATTTTATCCACAAGGGTTGGGTCACTCAAGAGTAGAATGGGTTCACTGGATGAATCTCCAGATATCAAACGAAGTTTGGCTTCATTGACATCAGTGGAATGTCCGATGGTGATAAATGATATCCCTGAAGTTCTGGCATCTTCAGAAATACTTTTAACATCTGGATTCTTTGGATGGTCGATGCCATCAGTCATCAGCAAAGCCACTTTCACACCATTTTTGCGCCCTTCCCTCTTAAATAGCCTGGTAACATTGGAGATGGCATAGTAAGAAAAGGTGCCTTGCCCAATCAAATTCAAAGACTTGGCCCTCTGCTTAAATGTCTTCAGGTCTTTCCAGGAAGAAAAAGGTGGGTCAATTTGGACAGAGCTGCTGAACTGAAGGGCTGCCAGTCTGATGTCATATTTCAAGGAGTGACCTGGAGTCACCTGGAAAATCTTGTCACTCAAGCGCTCCACAAAATCTTTCTGTTTATCAAAGTGGACAATTTTGGAACTTTCAGAGCTGTCCACAATGAAGACGATGTCTATGAAGCAAACAGAGGCTGAAACAGAACAAAATGGTTAGGCAAAATAATTATCCCTGCTCATGAAACACCTATTCTTAAGGAAAGCCCAGAGGTATATCATGTACATTTTTGAGAGAGGAGGAAAGGAAATATGAGAGACACTTTGGGGATAAGGCTTATGCTGTAAAGAAGTAAATTCCTTTCAAGTCTATAAATTTCCCCCTTGTAAAATCATGCAAATAAAGAGAAAACAAAAATGTTACAGATTCTAAGCATCTTCTTACTTTTAAACTCTTGTAAAGTGGGTGAAGGAAGGGTCTCTCACAGTTCAAAAACTGAACAAATAGTGGGAGAAGTTGCCCAGAAGCAAAATTACTGAATCCTCACGTTGGTTTTCTGTTTTGTTTTTACCTTTCTTGAAGTCAAGGGAGTATGTGACATGTACACTATAGCAAGAGTAACGGGGAAATAAATTTAACTCTAAACAGGGAAGTGGAGCCAGTGCTGTGGCATAATGGGTAAAGCCACCATGAAGTGCCTGCATCCCATATGGGCGCGGGTTCAAGTCCCGGCTGCCCCACTTCTGACCCAGCTCTCTGCTGTGGCCTGGGGAAGCAAAAGTTGTTGGACAATGTCCTTGGGCTCCTGCACCCATGTAGGAAACCTGGAGGAAGCTCCTGGCTTCAAATCAGGGCAGTTCCAGATGTTGCAGCCATCTGGGGAGTGAACCAGTGGATGGAACACCTCTCTATCTGCCTCTCCTTCTCTGTGTAACTCTTCCAAATAAATAAATAAATCTTTAAAAAAAATAACAGGGAATTTAGGTTTGAATACTTGCTCTGTACCTTACTCGTTACTTTGCCTATGGCCTTGAATATGTCACGTAATCTCTCCTGACCTCAATTCTTGATCTGTAATATGAAAGTGGCAATCTCTGTCCTACTAAAACTTACAAGGTTTCTGTAAAGCTCAACTAAAACAATAAACACACAAGTGGATAAAAAGTCTAATGTGCTCAAGTTATAGAAAATGTATTATCATAATATAATGATATCAGGTAGAATGCCGTGTGTGTGTGTGTGTGTGTGTGTGTGTGGTTTGCTCTTTACATGAATATAACTCAGAAAAGCTCATATCAGTGTTTAATAGGTTAACACTGATACTTAAAACAGAAACAAAATTTTTTTTACCCCGGAAGTCATTTTTCCTTGCAAGTGGATTCGGTTTTGGTCCTTTCTTTCTTTGTCCATACACTGTTTGATTCAGAAAAGCTGGCAAAAGCAGGAGGCAGAAGGCAAAATAGCTGTTCCGCATTATGGTAGATGGTGAAATCTCATCTGCCTTGTAGAATCTTTAACAGAAAAACCAGTTATAAATGTCTTAGTAAAATACAGTGTTCGCAACATTTTTACTTCAGACCAGCAGAGCTGAAACATTTGCATGTGACTACAGAAAGAGGCTTTCATGAACACTTCTAGGAAAATATTTACATTGAGATTTTACATGTTGTTAATTCAAAGAAATCATGACACCACAACCAAGCATTTATTAGTAAATATTTGTCCCTATTCAAAGAAATGTATTCAAGGAGTCTTAATTTCCCATGATATGATGAGGAGCAGAGAGTAGGGGAGCCAGTTAAAGCTTTTCAGCCATACTCCGTCTGGTGAGGTACGTTCACAGGGTCTGCTTTGTCATTTCCAGATTCTTTAGGGTGAATTCAGATTGCTATGCGGCCATTCCATTCATTATAACTGATTCTTGACAAACCAGTATTTTGCAGGATTGTAGAGAACCACCTCCATTTTGGTCTTAATGTGGCATGCACAACTTCAAGAAGTTCAGAGAGGAGTCAAAATCAAATCGCCCTCCTGTTCCCATAGAAACCCATTTCTCTTTTCTGCTCCTGTTTTGGAAACTGTCTCCAACAGGGTTCCTGGATAGACTGTAGCTGAACATTCAACGAATCAAGAGAGTGTGAGAGCAAAAGCAACAGATTTGCTGAAAAACAACATTGTTCTTCCAGTGTTAGCTGGAAGAACTAATGGGCAGAAAGAGGACTTGAAGCCATGAATCATCCCCTTAGAACTACACTGCAAAACTACTTGGGTAAATTGACAATGAAAAATCTAATTCTGTATTAAAATCCCCAGTCATCTTCATTAGCCAATATGTCCAGCTACATGCCAAATGATTTTTAAACCCACATACTTCCATGGCAAAAGAATGATGTGTTACTAGCTCAGTCTGTCCAAGAGACAAGGAACAAGAAAGCTCATTTTGAGCCAGTATTCAACCTGGTCTGGAAATGCTTGCCTACTTCAGGAGTTATGGAAAACGGGTCACATTTACCTTCTTTGACATCTTGCCTTTAGGATATGTGAACTGAGAAGTGACAAGCACAATTTCTCCAGGTTCTGAACACAGAATGGAAATACAAGTACGTGTAAAGGCAGTGAGGAGTGAGATGGGAAGACTGACTTCTTTCATGCATGTCAGATGGGTAAACCCAAAGGAAGCAAAGCTGTTGGGTTGGGGATGGAGAAACAGATGGCTTCATACCACAGTATGCTCCTCAAATACCGCTGTCTAGCAGGAAGTTTATTAAAAGAACTTTGGATCAGTGCGACCAAGCAACTCAGCTGGCAGGCGCATCAAGTGCAATTGGCCAAATGCCAACTGCGCTTCAGGTCAGGTATACTAACATGTGACGACAGCTGGATTAAAAAAGAAGAGGGAAGAAGAAGAAGAAAATGTGCAACGGAAAAGGAACAAATTAAGGACATTCACCCTTAAGGAATTCCTTTAATAACCAAGGAGAATAATACAAAAGATGTACAACTTTAAGTCTGAAGGTTGGTGTAGAGGCAAGGCAATACAGAAAAATACAGCTGCTATTGCATTACAAAGAGAAATGTCCCTTGTATTACAAATGACTTTTCTCTTTGGTTGAGTCCATACCATAAGAAACATCCCAGAAATTGGGAGTATTGAATTTCACTAAGAGGAAGAGAGATTTTTTGCACACAAGCAACTCTTCAAAACACAGAGGTGATTTTCATGCTGGATTCTAAGAATCTTCTTAGAATCTTAGAATCTTCTTCTCCTTGGTAGGCTTCATTTATGGCTTTGGAAATACTGGCTTTAAACAGACTTATCTTTCCCCAAAACTAATTACCTGCTCATGTGGTTCTATAGGCATAGAATAATGCAATCATACCCAAACCCCAGCATGTATAATGTTCATTACACAATAATCACAATATCTCATATTTAGTTACTATTTGCTCTGACAATTTTGATCTAACCTACCCAAACCAGTCTTGCCCTTCCATTCTGGTTCCCTATCATAGCTAGAGTACACACTTCTACCTTTCTACTCTTGTTCTCTTTTACTTACTAAAATCTCTTTCTTCTTTATTTGTTTGGCCTCTTGGGAGCTGCTTCATTTCTAATCATTTTTACCACATTTTATTTGCTTCAGTTTTTAATAATTCTAATCTATCTCCCTTTCAGAAGTCACATACAAAGAAAGCAGATTTCAAGGCATGAGATTCCATTATTTAAATGAAATAAATGTAATCTCTAGCTTTACTAATGATAACAGCAGAATCAATGACGATCTTTAGCTAAATGCAATATTTTACTTTTTTTGCCTAAAACTTACTTGAGTAAACATCAGGATCAGTGAATCTAAGAGACTTTATATTCAAGAATTTTTCAGAAATAAAATTATCTTCTAGTAGAGTTGTCCAATTTTGTTAAGTGTTTGCATCCCAATTATTTCTTTATGAAGATAAAATGATTGTATAAAGATGTTACTTTAATTGCCAAATTAGTCAAATACCCTATAATTAAAATTGAATAAAATATTATCCCAAATTAAGAAAAAGATCCCAAAGAGTATTAACATCACTACAATACTGTTTAGTAGAATGAAAAATTAAAAATTAATTTCAAAATATTTTTAAAATAAATTTTAAATGTCTACATCTTAGCAATAATTTGTTTCTCTCTAATAACTGATTTACAGTAGTACAGAGGATACAAAGTTTTGACAGCTTTCTTTATATAACAAGTATGTAAGCCATTTGGTCTTCCCAAATGTTTGAAACAAAGCAGTGATGTCTTACCTTACAATGACCGTCAGGAATTTAAGACAGGTTGCATAAATGTCCACAGCAAAGACTACCACCAGGGATGGAATTAGCTACTTGATATTGCTCTGCTTTGTGGGGTACAAAAATTGTCTTTGCATTTGGATCTTTTGCGATCTTTGATTCATGTTTATTAGGCTAAGTTTAAGCGAGAGTGGTCAGGCATTTGGCCAGGGTGCAAGATCTGGGTGGGAACTGTAAGTAATTTAAAGGAACAGAGTCCTTTCAGAGCAAGTCTGTGTTTTCCAGTCTATTGTCAAAACAACTTGAGAGAATTTTCTACATTTGGAGCATTTCTTGACAATCTGCTTTTGTTTCAGATGCTGTGTCCTTCTCTTCTTATTGCCATATTTCTTTGCTTGGGGTATGCTCTCTAAGATACTGATTCTGAACAGCTCTGTGAAGTTATACACGACACCAAAATCAGATTAAAAATCAATTGTCCAAGACAAGTAACGTGCTGATAACTATGGAAATTGGATGATAAGTACATAGAGAGTCATTGCACTAGGTTTATTTCTTCAGTCTTTGAAACTTTTCATCTAAACAGTTTATGGAAGAGTAGTCTAAACTTGGTCCTGGTTCTGCCCCTGTTTTGCCACTTAGGGAATGAGAGAATAGAATTATTAGGATCCACTGTAATGAGAGGTAGGTTTACAGTGGTCAATTTCTGATACCTCTGTTTCATCGACCTTTTTATATTTTCTACCCTGTGGGTTCAAACCATATTAAGTTGATGTTTATCAAAGCAAAATGTAATTCCAAGAAGCGCACTGACCCACAGATAATTCACGGTGTAGGAGGGCTTCTCTGTGGACTGCCTCTGAAAGAATAAAAAGGCAGAATACATTCATGCCATAACTGTTTCAAATCAGCTTTCTTAGGAAGTCATGTTATCATTCATGAATTTCATTAGGAAGCAGCCTCCTCCTCACAGTCATTTACCAGGTTCCAGGCACAGTGCTAGGACTCACATACATTCTCTGAATCCTCCATAAACACACCATCCACTTAGAGAAGTTGCTACAAGAATAAGTCAAGGTTTTCAGACAGGGAGGCAAAGGAGAGTTCAGAAACTTCCCCATTGTCTATCAAATGCTGGAATGAGACTTTAACTCATCCTCTATCTGACCCTGCACCTCACTTACAACAACTTTTACATCATTACATTGAGCATCCATGTGAATGTTCCTGTTTCCATTCTCTCCCCATCACAAAGCAGTGTTTGTTTGAAGTTTCATGGGCTTTACTAACAGAAAAAAAGAAATGGGGGGTGGCATTGAGCACAGCGGTTTAGACGCCACTTGGGACACCTGTATCGCCTTTCAGAATGCCTAGCCTGGAGTCCTGGGTTTGCTTTTGATTCTCGCTTCCTGCCAATGCACTCCCTGGGAGGCAGCCAGTGGTGGCTCAACTAGTTAGGTCCCTGCTATTCAAAGGGAGATTCATATTTAGTTCCTGGCTCCTGGGTTCATCCTGGCCCAGGTGTAACAGGCATTTGGGAAGAACCAGTGCGATGGAAGCTATCTTTCTCTCTGTCTCTTTCTGCTTTTCAAATTAATAATTTTAAAAAAAAATAAAGAAGAAATGGTATCCTCTGTCGCTCCCCCTCTTCGTGGAGGAACGACATTAAACCCTGCCTAGGCTTCCTATCCGAGTCACGGCACCATTATGTCGCTCCCCGTCTTCATGGAGGAACGACACTAAACCCTGCCTAGGCTTCATATCCGAGTCACGGCACCATTATGTTGCTCCCCCTCTTCGTGGAGGAACGACACAGGACCCTGCGCTGTTCTTTTGTCTGCTCGGCCCTCCCCGGGTTTGCTGCTGGTTCTTCCCGGGTTGGCTACTGATCCTTCCACCTCCGTGGAAGGGCGGTTCCCCCTAGCCACTTTCCCCACTTCCGCGGGGGAGCGGCACACCGCCGGCCGGCTCTCTCGGGGGCTGCTCAGATGTTCCTCAGGTGTTCCCCTTAGATGTTCCTGGTGCATGTTGTCTCTCTCCTCCTTTATAGTCCTCTTCCGCCAATCCCAACTCTGCTACCCACACGCCGAGTACGCTGCTCTCCTCCAATCAGGAGCAGGTCCTGCTGTTTATTGGTTGAACTGGAGGCAGCTGTGTAGAAGCTGTTACTCCCTTCTCAGCGCCATATTGTGGGAGAGCAGATGCATAGAATAAGTCTTAATTCCAGTAACTTAGTCTAGTCCGAGTTGCTCCTAGTTGCTCCCCACAATCCTCCAGAGGTAACAATAGAATTTTCCAGAAACAACCATATATTTACCTGATAGCCTGCATATTAGTCACACTTTTCACCATATGAGACATGAGTACTAGGGAGTGAGATGTTTTCAGAAGGTCAACATTCTTTTTCCTGGGAACAAATTAACAACACACAGAATAATGGTGCCTGGAAGAAGCAAACAAGTGGTTCCTAGAGAGGAGAAAGGGATTAGAGCCCTCCTGCTTTAGAACTGTTGTGATTGAAGTCAGTGGGGAGTTAGAGTCCTACTGTCATTCCACTCTATCCTAAAATGTCAGAGAAACTCGAACTTGTGTTTTACTTCCTCTCATTCCCAGCTACAACAATCAGCACTAAGTTGACTGGGTAGATGACTTGAAAGAAATTGAGTTCTGTTCATTCATATAAAGTAATTAACTTTGTACATAGAAAAAAAAAAGTTGGTCTATAACACAGTTGGATACACACCAGTCCAAATAAGAGAGCATGGGTGGGTAACTATGATGATGGGGAAAAAGGTAACTTGGAGACCGTGCCCTTCTGACTGTTGTTCTGTAACAAAGTCTTTGTAAAAGAAAGTCTTCATTTTTTACTATTATTAATGTATATGGCCTAAAATAAGCACAAAAAAATCTGTTGAATGAATGATTATCAGAAGTAATATTTAAGTGTTTGTCAATCACCTGAGGACCATGATATAATAGACTGCACCTCTCTAGAGCATTGCTGGTTTGAAAATCTTTTTCCAATTTTTAAAATATTCTCCTGTAGCACAATCTATATTCAATTATTAGTTTTGGTATAAGTGACAAAATCTTCATCTAAGCCCTGATAGTATGTTGGAGTTCTAGGGTCACTTAAAATAAGTCAAAGTCTATTATGACTTATATGAGTGTACTTTAAATAGTTCATGGAATAGTTCATAAAAGTTTATCTTGGTGCAAAAAAAAAATTGAAATCTGTACACCTGAGGGGTATTCAAAAGGTTCACTGAAATGTCTATTATGAAAAAATAGGCATGGATTTCAAGAAATTTTGGACCAAAATAAACTTATCTTGCAATTCATGAACTATTTAAAGTCCCCTCATAAACCTAGGAAATTTTATCTGAATGAAGTCACAGCTGCACAAGAGAGGCTGATAACAAACTAATTCAAACTTGCATCAAAATTACCTATCCATGAGGTTGGCATTTGTCCTAGTGGTTAGAATGGCAATTAAGATGCCATGTCCCATATTAGAGTACCTGAGTTCAATTCCCAGTTCCAGCTGCCAATTCCAGTTTCATGTCAATGCAAGCCCTAGGAGACAGCAGACCCAAGTTGCTGGATCCCTGCTACCTATAAGAGATGCTTGGACTGAGTTCTCAGCTCCTGGCTCCAACCCTGGTTTCCCACAACCATCATGGGTATTTAGGGAATGAACCAGCACATAGGAGTGCTCTTTCTCTTTTTCTCTGTCTGTCTCACTCTTCATCTCTATTTCTCTGCCTCTTGACTTTGAAAAGGACCAAGAATAAGGTTTGTGTGATGTTTCACTAGCTTCCCTGCAATGTCAACCATCCCTCACAAGGTTGATCCAAAGGAGGAAAATACATTATCAACTGATATAGGAAAGACCATCAAGGCACAGGAAACAAAAGCAAAATGAAACAAATGGGATTATATCAAACTCAGAAGCTTCTGCACATCAAAGGACACAATCAATATAGTGAAGAGACATCCAACAGAATGGGAAAAATATTTGTAAACTACTTATCCAACAAAGAATTAATATTCAGCATATATCAGCAACTTAAAATTCAACAACAAAAAGTCAATTCCATTAAGAAGTGGGCAAAGGACATGAATAGACAGTTCTTAAAAGCAGAAATACAAGTGGCCAATAGATACAGAAAAAATGCCCAATACCACTAGTCACCAGGGAAATGCATATCAAAGCCACAATGGGATAATCTCACTCTTTCAGAATGGCTATAACCCAAAAGAGAGCAACAATTGTTGGTGAGGATGTGGAGAAAGGGAATCCTTCTACACTACTGGTGGGAATGCAAATTGGTGCAGCCATTGTGGAAAACTGTATGGAGATTTCTTAAAAAAAAAAAAAAAACAGAAATGGACTTGCCATATGATCCAGCAATCCCACTACTGGGTATAACCAAAAAGCATGAACTCAGAGATAGCTACACCACCATGTTTATAGCAACACTGTTCCCAATAGCCAAAAGGTGTCCATCATCAGATGAATGGATAAAAAAAAAAAATGTAGCAAATATACATATATAAAAATCACATTTTCATATGCATATATACAATGAAATATTATTCAGCTATAAAAAAGAATGAAATTCTATCATTTGCAGCAAAAATGGTTGGAGCTGGACAATATCATGTTGAGTGAAATAAGCCAGACACAGAAAGACAAATATCACATTTTCTCCCTTGTATGTGAGAGCTAAAATTCAAGAGAGAAAGAGAAATGCATGTATTAGTTTTACTGCAAATACAGTGATTTGCCAAACTTTGTTTTAAATTTTTGTGAAACAAATTGATAGACATTATATATTACCATAGTTTTAATGATCTTGTGACTATTTTTAAATTTACTTTATATGAACGAAATTGAATGTCTTTTCATTTGATTATTGTTTATAGCCCTCATCTATTTTCCTGCTAGATTATAGTATTTTTACTTTTTTTATTTGTTGAACTCTTTATTTAGTGGAGCCATTCAGCCTTTGACTATAAAGTAAATAAAAACACATTAAATCAAAAAATGATAAATTAATTTGGAAAAATAAAATGTTATAAAAGAAAATAAATATGAAAGCACAAAAGGAAAAAATAACACCAAAATGGTATTGGTTCTATCTATCTGTCAACAAAGGGAAAGAATAAAAGCATTCAAAGGCAATTTTGAGAATGAGAATCATTTAAACAAAGAGTGAATATGCATGTCTATAAAATGACCTATTGGTAATAAAAGGCAGGAAGTATGGCATTACTTAAATCCCTGTTCCCTAACCAAATTCTGATTGAGTTGACCTTTCTACATTCCATCGATTTTTTTTTTTTGAAGATTTCTTTTATTTATTTGAAAGAGTTACAGAGGGGGGCTGGCACTGTGGCATAGTAGGTAAAGCTGCCACCTGCAGTGCTGGCATCCCATGTGGGCACGGATTCGAGTCCCACTGCTCCACTTCTGATCCAGCTCTCTGCTATGGCCTGGGAAAGCAGTGGAAGATGGCCCAAGTCCTTGGGCTCCTGCACCCACATGGGAGACCCAGAATAAGCTCCTGGCTCCTGGCTCCTAGCTTTGGATTGGCACAACTCTGACCATTGCAGCCAACTGGGAGTGAACCAGTAGATGGAGGACCTTTCTTTCTGCCTCTCCTCCTCTATGTAACTCTGACTTTCAAATAAAATAAGTAACTCTTTAAAAAGAAAAGAGTTACAGAGAGAGGTAGAGGCAGAGAGAGAAGAGTCTTCCACCTGCTGGTTCACTATCCAAATTGCCACAAAAGCTGAAGCCAAGTTGATCCAAAGCCAGGAACCAGGAGCTTCTTCCA